CCGCGCGTCAGCGCGGCCTGCGAGACGCGCTGGGGAGTCCCCAGCGGCCAGCGCCATCGCGGCCGCGTCGGCGACACCAAACTCGGCGGCCGCTCTGAGAGCGAGCTCGCGCGCGCCATCGCGGCCGCAGCGATGCGCCAGCCAGCGCCGAGCAATAATCGCAATCGACGCCGCGTTGGTTCTCCGGGCTCAAATGCGGGCGGGTGGGCGGGTGGGGCGATTGCACGAGCGGTGGAGTAGACTAACTTCATGCCCTGCAACATGGTGAATGGCACCGCGTAAGTTTTATTGTTTCTCTTCCAAAGTATTAGGTTCTCCCCCAGCCCCCCCCCCCAGGGTTAACGCATCACCTTTTCGCTGTGTTTCCGGTTTCCCGCATAGGATTCTGACAATCGCCCATCTCAAATATGAATTCGCACCGCCCCACGCCGCACGGTTATCGACCCCACACACACACACACACACACACACACACACACACACACACACACACACACACACGCGCACACATTTTTTGGTCGGCGGGTCGGGAGCGGGCCCCTTCCGGTCAAGAGCTAAGCGGGGCGCGCGACACGCGCACACACACACACACACAAAAAACAAAAAAAAAAACTTTCTCTGATAGAAGCACGATGCGCACACACTCCGTGATCAAGAACCAGAAATGTTCAAGAGCCCCGCACGCGCACGTCGAAATCTCTCAAATTTCTTGAGAGCAGTAAAGATTTCACGATCGAGCGCCGCGAAGAAATAAAACCATATGGTTTCGCAACACGGGTCTCTAAAACTCTATGCGCCCACGCTTGTTCGAAATCTTTTCTTTTTTATTGAAGAAACGTTGGTTCTTCAACATGTCCATCAAATGCGGCCGAACGGGCGCCTCGCGCGCGCATGTCGAAACCATTCGAACGCCCTGGCGCGCGCACGGCCCCTGACAAATAATACCATGCACGCCACTGCACGCGCGTCGGTCGCGCGCGCATGTGGAAATCCTTGATTTCCAAAGCCTTCATCACCGACACGAGGAAACCATCATCGTCATCATCGTGATCAACATCGACGACGTCAGTGCCCTTGCCGTCGTCATTGCCACGATCGTCACCAAAATCGTGACTGACATTATCTTTCCGCCTTTGTCGACGTCGCCATGGCACTTTTCCGCCCGAGTCACCGACACCAACTGATGTACCCGCGCGTCAGCGCGGCCTGGCCGCTGGCGCCAGCGGTCAGCGCCACCGCGGCCGCCTCCGTCAAGCCAGACTAGCTGGCTGGTCTGCGCGCGAGACTGCGCGCGCTAGCGCGGCCACAGCGATGCGCCAGCCAGCGCCAAGCAGTCATCGCAATCACACCCGCATGGGTTTTGCAAACCAAGGTGCGAGTGGGTGGGTGGGATGATTGTGCCAGCTCACTGCGAACGAAAACGAGCTGCACAACACAGGGTGCACCACGTCGGTTGCACCACATAGCTTGCGCACCGCAAAGATCGGCATAGGTTGCTAGAAGCACACCTTCTGAAGTCCACGATGGCTAGCACACACAACTACATACATATATACATAGATGTGCAAATGTAGACAACCCAAAATACATATAAGTACACACATGCATGTAAATAGGCATGTACGTAAGCGGATGTATGGTTGTACGAATGCATACACGAAAAAACATGTGCGTATGCGTCCGTGCATGTACACAAACAAATATGTATACATGTCAGAGCGTATACGTATATATGTATGTATACATGCATGTATGCTCATGTGCATACATATGTATGTGTATATATATATGTACATATACATATGCACATGCATATGCGTACATATATACATGTGCGTAGACATGTACATATACGCATACAAATACCTACACAGCTACGTATTCAAACATCTACAGATACATGAAATGGCACCTGAAGATATACACGCACATGTGCGTGTATATATATATATATATATATGTGTGCATGTGTGGATGTGTAGATATAGTGAAACAGAACTACAAGTGCAGAGATGCATAGTTAACTATATATACACAGAAATATAAACATCTGTGTATACATGCACACCTGCACATTGTACAAACACATACACACATGCATACACATTTACATTTAAAAACACGTAGACGGATACATATGCCGATACACATATTACATATGAATATCCGTGAAACTACATATAGCATAACGATGTATGCGTATGCCTACCTACTGGCATCTGGCAGAAAGCCAAGGCGAAATCCCACCAGCCCTCTGGGCGACAGGTGGTCTAACGATGTCTTCCTTTCTTCTTCCACAACCCCTCCGTCCCCTTCGGGGATGGATTTACCCCTCCCCCGACCCCTCCCCTGGATCTGGACGGGTGGTGTCGCGAGCGGTCCGAGCGTCCAAGATGGCCCAAGATGGCTCCAAGAGGGCCTCAGAGAGCCCAAGATGGCCTCCAAGATCGCTCAACATAGCCCAACATGGCTCAAGATAGCTGACCACATGCCTCCAAGAGGCCCCAAGAAGGCCACAAGACGGTTCCAGCTGCTTTGGGCGACCTCCCAGGGCCTCCCGAGAAGCCAAAATCCTTCAAAAACCTTCTCGCCTACTTGCGCCCTTCTCACCTTTGCGCTTCCGATGCGCTTTTGAGGCCTCATGGCCCTAGGATGGCCCAAGAGAGCTCCGAGAAGGGCCCAAGAGGCCCCCAAGACTGCCCCAAGAGCGCCCAAGAGGGCCCCAAGAGCGCTCCAAGAGGGTATTTCGATGGCCCCGGAGGGGGAGGCAAATCAAGGACTCCCCCTCCTAGGATCGATGGTCTCCAAGATGGCCCCAGGCGGCACTCCGTAGCTCCCGAGAGGGCCCCAAGAGAACCCTAAGAGAGCCCCGAGGGTCCCATGAGGGCCCCAAGACGCCCCAAAAGAGACCCAAGAGGACCCCAAGACCACCAAAGAGCCCGAAGAGTGCCCAAAGATGCCCCAAAAGAGCTCCAAGAGGACCCAACATCCCCCAATACAGTCCCGTAGTTCCAAGAAGGCCTCCGATGCTCCAAGATAGCCTCCAAGATGGCTCAATACCCTCCTCTCCTCTCCTCTCCTTGCACGCTCTGTTTCACTACATGTCTTTTCGCCCCTTTTCCCGTCAGCTCTCATGGGCAGGGCTTCTGAAAGGGCTGGTGGGGATTCGCGAAGCGTAAACAATTCCACTGCCACTGCACACACACACACACACACACACACTTTTTGGCGGTCGTGGCCTCGCGCGCGGCGACGAGGCTGAGTAAGGGTGCAGTAGATCCTCCGCCAGACACAACAGGAGGCACATCACCATCCGAGCATGGATGGCGGGGAGGTGAAGCGACGCCCATCGCGGGAGAGCCCATGCGGGGACGTACCGCGCAGCCAGGAAGAAGGCACAGCACCATCCAAGCGCGGATGGCAAGAGGATGAAGCGCCGCCCATCGCAGGACGTCCATGCGGGGACGTGCCGCGCAGCCAGGACAAAGGGGGCACCTCAACCAGACAAGGCTGGCGGGGAGGGGCAGCGCCACCCACCCAACGCGGGTCCACGGTTTCCCCCGGGGCCGTAGGCGACCCGAGGAGGAGAAGGAGGAGGAGGAGGAGGAAAAGGAGGGGGAGAGGGAGGAGGACATGGAGGAGGAGGAGGAGGAGGAAGGAGGAGGAGGAGGACGGGCTCCGCGTTTGGAGGGTTTTTCCGAAACCCACCAACCGCGGGACAGCCGCGCAGCCAGGGAGGGAGCCACCAGCCACTCGGGCAAGGTGGGCAGAGTGAGGCGAGGAGGAGCCGCTCGGCGGGCTGCCCCGCCGGTCAGCGGAAGCGCGCGAGTCTGGGGCCGACTGGCCCAGAGCCGAGGAGGAGGAGCCAGCGGCCAGGGCGGTCAGCGCCTGTGCCGCCGCCCAAGGCCGGAGCGCTCGCGGGAGGCGGGGCGCTTGAGCGAGGCAGCGCCAGACCCATGGAAGCATGCTGGACGGCCCATATGTGCCGTTGCGCTTTGACGCAGGCGTTGAACGTGAAGTCGGCATTCAGCATGGCTGTCACTTGGGAGGGGAGCGCCTCCCCCGCGCGGGAGGAGGAGGAGGAGGAGGAGGAGGAGGAGGAGGAAGAGGAGGAGGGGGAGGAGCAGGGAGGAGCAGGGAGGAGCAGGGAGAAGGAGGAGGAGGAGGAGGAGGAGGAGGAGGCGTCTGAGGCCTCGGCCGGGACTGCCCCAGGGGCCTCGCTGGTCGTTGCACGGGGCCCTCCTCAGGGCGCGGTCGGCCCTCGGCAGCAGCAGCCTGGCGCCGATGGGAAGCAGGGAGCCAGGGCCGTCAAGAGGAGGGATGGAGCTGCTGCTGGCGTGTGGCGAGGGACGCGCGTCCCGCTGCCTGGGGCCGCCCGGCTCCGTTGGACGCCCGCGGGCGCCGCCCGACCTCGGGAGCGAGGGACCCGAGGGGAGCCACCCGGAGGACCCTGGGGCTCGGGGTCCCTCGCGGCTGCGCTCGCGGTCGGCAGTGCGGCCCGGGTGCCCAGGGTGGGGGCCGCTGGCGCTTGCGCTGGTCGACACGGCCTCCCTGGAGCGAGGGGCGCGGTGCGGCCGTGGGGCCGAGCGAGCGCCCGGCGAGGCGGCCCGGGACTTTCATGCGCTGGTCGTGCGCCGCCTGACCAGCACGGTCTCTTCGGGCGAGGTGCCCCGCGACGCCCTGCGGCGCGCTGGTGGCTTCGCGGGACTCGGGGGCACCGACGGCGTCGGGGAATGGACGCGAGATGGGCCAGTCGTCGGCCAAAGCTACGCGCGCCCTGGGCTGGACCGAGGGAGGAGGACGAGGAGAGGGGGGGAGGAGGAGGGCGAAGATAGGAAGAAGAAGATAGGAGGAGGAGTAGGAGGAGGGGGAGGAGCAGGGAGAAGCAGGGAGGAGCAGGGAGGAGCAGGGAGGAGGAGGAGGAGGAGGAGGAGGGCACACATACGCACACCAACTCCTGCCCTCCCAGCCGTGGCGTCCCCCGGCAGAGCGGCCCGCGCCTGCTCCAGGGTCATCGGTGCGGGCCCCTTCGCGGCCGCGCCGCTCCGGCTGGGCCAGCCAGCCTGCGCGCGGAGGGGCGTGGCCTCCGCTCGAATCACCGTGGCCAAAATAGGGGGCCCCAGGCGAACCCTACACCTACCCCCCACGATTTCTGAGGGGGAGGGTGGGGTTCACTTCGCTCGGGAGCTCCCGAGCGAAGTGAACCCCAACCCTCCCCCTCAGAAATCGTGGGGGGTAGGGGTAGGGTTCGCATCAAGCTAGCCGGCTCGAGCGAGTCAAGCATGGCATGCCCATTCCCACCCGCCCTCCCACAACATAAGAAACAGTGATGGCACAACTGGTGGCTGCGCGGGCACTTCAGTGTCGCAGGTCCCAGGGCGCTGACTTCTAGGTCCCAGAGCGCCCCAGGAACGCCCCAAGAGAGCCGAGACGCCCCCGAGACGATCCGAGGGGCCTTGAGTCGCCGAAAGATCGCTCCAAGACGCCCAAGATGGCCTCCAGACGGCCGCAGACGCCGCCAAGAAACCACGGGGAGCCTCAGGAGGCCCCCCAAGAGCCTGGACAAGCAAAAACCTCCCAGGCATTTGTCACCCCAGGGCCTCCTGGAACGCCCCGGCGCCCAATGAATTGGCGAGCTAAAAACGTGCGCCGAGCCAAAGCGGGAGCGCAACTTTGAGAAAATTGCGCTCGGAGCCCAAGCGGGAAGGTCATTTCATTCACTTCGAGCGGGGGGGGGGCCGCGCCCAATTCTTGCCATGCACTTTTGCAGGGTGGGCGACAAGAACAGCTAGCTATGTGGGCAGGGAAAATCAGCATGGCATTGTTTCTGACAAGTAAGGTGGCCCCTCCCGCCTTGGGGTTGCCCCAGAAGTCCGCGCGCGATGTGCGCCGCGCCCCATTCCTGCCACGCATTTCGCATCGTCGACGACAAGACAGGCCATGATGAAAGGAAAAACGGCAACTCTGTATTGTTTTTTACAGTCAGGATGGGAGGGCCCGCGGCCCGCATTGACGTCCGCGCGCGATGTGCGCCGCGTCCCATTGCAACGCTCCTTCGACACAAATGAGCTGCGGACGTCAAACGATATCGATAAGAACAGATACCACTGATTGTGCACGTGAAGGGAAACACCCCCTCTCGGACGCAGCGGACAGCGGGCCAAAGCCCCACTCCCGCGGCGTCAGTGCCGCGCGTGCCTGTAGGCCTCTCGCCCGCCAGGTCCGTGCACGGCCGACCACTTCTTCAATGCACATCGTCCGCAACTCCCGCCTCAGTGCGGGACATCTAGGTCCGTGGAAAAGAAAAGGAAAGAAAAGAAAACTCATGCATCTGCCTGGCGCCACACACACGCCCTAGAGAGTGCGATGGAGCCGGCTGCCCTCGTCGCGCACCTTAAAGCCCATAGCCTCAAAATGCCGTCTCAGATGTGTCTGATCCAGAGCCTTCGTGAATGCATCGGCCGGGTTCTGGAGTCCCGGCACATGCTTGATCTCTACTTTGCCTGCCTTGACCTGGTCCTGGAGCCACAAGAATCTCGTGTCGATGTGTCGGACAGCGCCAAGGCCCTGACGCGTGGCGATGCCCTCGGCAGCCACGCTGTCACTGCGCAGTAGTGGCATCTCTAGGTGCTGCACGCCGAAGTCTTGGAGCATAGACTGGAGCCCCAAGGCGTGGCTTGCACCCTTCAGCATCGCGTAGTACTCGGACTCCCCAGAAGACAACGCCACCGTGGTCTGCTGCGTGGAAGCGTGCTTAACAAGATGAGAGCCGAGCATGAGCATCATGCCACTGCGTGATTTCCTGGTGGTAGCCTCGCCAGCCCAGTCAGCGTCTACGAAGATCTCGATGCGCTTGGGGGCCTCCTGCAGCTTGAATACCAGTGAGCCTGCCCTGGCCTGCTTGAGGTATCTCCCAAGGCGCTTCAGGTCCATCATGTCCGACTCACGCGGAGTCTTCATGGACTTGGCCAGAGAAGACGCTATGTAGCTGAGGTCCGGCCTGTCCTGCCCGATGTAGCTCGCACGCATGACCAGCGAGCGGTAGAGCTTGGACTGTGCCTCATCTAGCGTCGGGGACTGCGAGGCTTCGATCATCTCGGCCACACTCTTCTTGACCGCAGGCGTCTGCACCGGCTTGGCGTCGCACAGGTGCAGGTCCCGAAGGATCATGTCCACGTGGCGGACGTCAGACTCGATGCGTGCCTCACCTGCAGCGGGATCCCAGACGAGCACGCGGTTCAGGTAGACCGTGCTCTGGACCCCTTCGGCCGCCGAGGATAGGCGGCCCGTGACCTTGTAGTCATACTTCTTCAACAGCTCGTCGAACCAGGCCTCGTCGTCTGCATACATCAGCACGCCGAAGTCGTCGCCATGCACCTCGAGGGCGATGTCACGCCCTGGGTGCCACAGGATGGCGGGACTCGACTTCCCTTGCAGGAACTCGACGGACTTGAGCAGCTCGACGTAGTCACCCTGCCAGACCTGGCTCGCATCCATCGTGCCGTACATCGTACGAAGGAGAAGTCCGACGAGTGGCTCCTCCTCGTCCTGGCGCTCCTCGGGCGGAAGCTCCACCCAGAGACGCCTCTGCACGTGCCCGTAGAAATGGGCACGCGACACGTCGTAGAACTTGTACAGCACCTCGCGGGGCTCCGAGCTCTGGAACTGCTCGAACACCCTGCTGAGGAAAAGGCTGACCAGCGCCTTGAACGCCTCCAGCGGTGGCGTCCCCGAGAAGAGGTCCTGCTGCGGCGGCAGCAGCCCCTCGGCGCGCCAGCGAACCTTCATCTCCCGTGCCACGAGCCTCGAGCGGTACAACGGTCGCTCGAGGTCCCCCTTGTTGGTGTCAATCCACCGCGTGTCGATGGCACGGCCTCCTTCCGCCTCCATCTCGCGGCGTGGAACCTTCTTCCACACTCCACGGCTGCGGCACCACTCCAGCTCCTCAGCCCTGGCCTCCTTCACCTTCAGCGGGTCGAGGAAGCCCCCGCGGACGTCGTCCACGAACGCCTCCGCCTCCTGGTCCATATCCTCGGCGTGAGGCGAGGGCCCGGCGGTGAAGCCTGCCAGGTCAGACAGCGATTCTCGAAGTCGAAGCTCCTCCCTGAGGCCGCGAAGGATGGCTCTGACCAGGCGGGGTGGGTACACCTGCGCCCTTCGAGCCCTCCTGTCGCCGATCAAGTGCACGTGCCGGTAGGGTTCGCCGCCGATGGACTGGCAGCGGCACTCCCCAGCAAGGATGTCGGCCAAGACCTGCGAGTTCGTCAGCCAGCCCGTCTCCTTGCGCACGAATGCCTCTCGCCCATCGGGCCCCCGAGCGTGGAGGCCCCAGCGGCACATCGGGCCGCGCACAAAGTACACGCCCGGCAACTCCTTGACCCTCTGGACGCACGGCCGCGACCAGGAGGATGCTCCCCAGGGGTGCTCATGCAGGAAAAGTGCTCCTCGCTGATGCCTGCTCTCGCACACCTTCATGGAGAACTCCAGGTGTGTCTCTCCCTCGAGGACCTCGGAAGCTACGATGCCCTCGTCCCGCTTGAAGTTGCTGAGCTGCCTGAGCTTGGAGAAAACCGTGCACGGCGGAGAGGTCACGGTGAGGAGAGGGTCCTCCTCCAGCAGCTTCTTCATGACTGCTCGGCGGTGGTCCTCGCGAAGCAAGTCCCAGCCGGTGTAGAGGTCCGCCGCGAGGCCTGCCGTCAGGCCCATGCCGAGCGCCTTCTCTTTGAAGCGCTCGGGCGAGTAGACCTCCGCGAGGTCGACCCCGTTGATCTCGGTCAACAGCGCGGACACCTCCTTCAGCTCCTCGGTCGACATGACGTTGTCGCCGATCAAGTCCGTGGCGCTCACCAGCGCCAGGATCTCCTTGTAGATCTTGCCCTTGACCTCGTCAAAGGCGCCGACGTCCATGGAGCTGCCAGCTCGTGCAGCTGGCCCTGCCAAGTCCTCCATGTCGCCACCTCCTCTAGCCCCCTCTGGGCTAGGCGCGGGCTGCACCAGCCCGGCGGACACTGCCGCGCTCGCCGGTCCCGCCGACGAGCTCGAGCCTCCGTCCACGATCATCTGCCCGTGGAGGTCCGGCTCGCTCCCAGCTCTCTTGAGCCCTCTCGGCCCGTCTCGCAACTGCGGCGGGCGGCGCTCCTCGGCGGACACGCTCGCAGCACGCTTCCTCGATGCTGCCTGTGGCGTCGCCGGGGCGCTTGCACGTGGACCTGCCATGGCCACGTCTGCGCCGGGTCCTGCCGCGGCGCCTCCTCCGCTGCTGGCCGCAGCGGCTCCTCCGCCGCTGGCTGCGGCTGCTCCAGGCTGGGGCGCCGGCTGCGCCGCGCTCTCCTCCGCCTGAGCCTCGCGAGCACTCGCCCTCAGGTGGTGCTCCGCCAGTCTCCGCTGGCCTGCCGAGTCCTTCATCAGCTCGGCCTCGATGCGATCGCGGCACTCTTGGGAGTGCGCGACCCGCGCCGACCCCCTTGCCATGAGGTCCGCGCAGCCTGGACACCCCGGAGTAGCTCCGAAGCGTTCGATGTCCTTCTTGAGTACGTAGCGTCTCCTGACCACAGTATCGTGGTCCTCCTGCGTGTCTCTAGTCACAGTGATCGGGCCCGTGGGCTGCGCAAGCAACACCGCGGGGGAAACCTCCCACGGCAGTCCAGCAAGCTCGCCCCATGACCCTGGCGTCTCCGGCGACCATGCCTGGGCTCGATGTAGGCGCTTGAAGCCCTGGGCCCGCACCACGCCCGACTGCGTCATGACGAGCAGTGCGCCTGTCCGCGAGTGGTAGCCCACGAAGTGCCCCATGAGCATCTTGGGGGCCAGCGTGCTCCTCTCGTCTCCGACTCCGAGAGGTCGATAGTGCACCCTCTCGCCGAACTCCGCCGCGAACTTCCTCCAGGGGCGGCCGCACCTCCGCTGCTCGGCCGACATGCCGTCAACGCCGAGCCTGAACTTGGAGATGGAGTCCGCGGCAAACTGGGGCAGCCACCTGACGATGGGATGCCCCGGCGAGACCTCGAAGCCCAAGGACTTCTGCATGGAGAAGAAGTTCGCTCGGATGACCTTCTTCACCTCC